GCCGCGCGCCCCTTGGCCCCTGAGAGCGGGAGACCCGGGCGGAGCCGAGGGCCGCTGTCGGGGCGCCGCGGGCAAACTCCGGAAACAAGGTGCTCCCCGAATGCTCCAGGGAACCCCACCCGACCCCCATGACAGACCTTCTGCCTCCGGGAACTGTACTTCTTTCTGAACCATGCAAACCTAAACAGGTTGCATCCATATTGCCAGCCTCGGTTTGTTCTTTCCTCTGTAAAATAAAGTGACTAGTAAGTACCACAGGGGATTGTTGTGAAGATATGAAGTTACAATGGTGTAAAGTGATTAAATGAACCCCGGCCTGGAACAGGTGCTCCATTATTAATGTCAGGTCAAGCATGATTTCATTTTCCCAGGTTTGCAGCTCAGATATGAAGCAGGAGGGTGCAGGTTCTCCCCACATACACCACACAGAGCCCTGAAGTTACCTGGAGTGTAGGCTTCTGCCTTCAATTCCTGTCAAATGACAGAAAGAGACGCTGTGGACCTGCTGCATCTCAGTCTATCTTTAGAAGAGCAGACCCGCCAGACTGGGCCCCTAGGAGGGCCTCTGGGAAGTTCTTTACATAGCTGGAGGCTTCTCATAGGCCTGTGCTGGAATCTCAGCTCCAGGGGCATCCTTCCCCTGGCCCCTTTGTCCAAAGGAGACCCTTTCCCTTCTGCCTTCACTATCTATTCCATTACTTGTGTACACTTAATTGACATTCGTATCCTCGTGTTTATTGCCTTGTATGTTGCATGTGTGTTTATTGCCTTGTATGTTGTATATTAGCCACCTGCACATACACTAAAATTTCAGCGGGATGAGAGGCGGGACCTTGTTCTGTCTCATATACTGCCGTATTCTCAGTGCTTACAGCAGTGCCTGACTCATGTACACATTCAATAAATGCTGAAAAAGTGCACAATACACACTCCACACTGACACCTCTGTATGCTGAGCATAGACAGGAGAGGAAACTGGGCTCTGGGAGATGTCAAGGCCAACCTTCCAGCGGTATAGGCTGTAACTGGTGGAAAGGCTCACAGGAGATGCTAGGTAGTGTAGGCACTCTTATTCAGAAAGGCATCCTAGACAGGTGGAAATCAGTTGGGCCCAGAAGGAATGGTCAGGATTGACTGAGAAGAGAGCATCCCAGAGGGGGAGGATGGGAGAGCAAACACAGGCTCATGGGAAGGGTATGGGATGTTGAGACCATAAAGATGCCCTTCCTTGAGACAGACAGTGGTATTGGGGAAGGAGGCTGATACAAGTTAGAAAGAGGGAGTTGGTGTGATTGTGGGGACCACTGAACACCTGTTTGAAAGGGCCTCCAGCCTTTGAGGAGGTTCTTGAGCAAATGACAATGAGAAAGTTGTGTTTTTATTCTTAAATATTAATTTAAAATAATAAAATGAGCAAAGAATATGAACACAGTTCATAGAAAAGTAATATAAGTGGCTTCTAAACAAACAAAAAGAGGGACGCTTGGGTGGCTCAGTCGGTTAAGCATCTGCCTTCAGCTCAGGTCATGATCCCAGGGTCCTGGGATCGAGTCCTAAATTGGGCTCCTTGCTCAGCAGGGAGCCTGCTTCTCCCTCTGCCTGCCGCTCCCCCTGCTTGTTCTCTCTCTGTCTGACAAATAAATAATATCTTTAAAAAAAAAAAAAGATATTCAATCACCTCATAATAACAGATTAAAATTAAGGTGAGATACTATTTTTTAGATATCAGATTGGCAAAAATGTACATTGTAGAGAAAGACATTCATTGTTGGTGGAACTATAAAATGGTTGTCTCTTTGAAGGCAATTTGGCAACAACTATTACAATTTAAATGCAATACCTTTTGACCTAGCAATTCCACTACTAGAAATTTATCTTACATTAGTACTCACAGAGAGACACAAAGACTTGTGTATCAGAGTATTCACTGCAGCATTGTCAATAGTTACAAAAGACTGTATACAACCTAAATGTCTGTCAGAAAAGGACAGGTTTGGTGGCGCCTGGGTGGCTCAGTCGGTTAAGCATCTGCCTTCGGCTCAGGTCATGATCCCAGGGTCCCGGGATCGAGCCCTGTGTTGGGCTCCCTGCTCCGCGGGAAGCCTGCTTCTCCCTCTCCCACTCCCCCTGCTTGTGTTCCCTCTCTCACTGTCAAATAAATAAACAAAATCTTTAAAAAGAAAAGGACAGGTTTGTATGGTGATGGATATTAACTAGACTTATTGTGGTGATATTTTGCAATATATACAAATATTGAATCATTATGTTGTACACCTGAAACTAATATAATGTCATGTGTCAATCATGCCTCAATTTAAATAGAAAATAACAGGCTAATTAAATTATGTCATACTCCTATAATGGGATGATATTCAGCTGTTAAAAAGAATGAGCTAGCAGTGGAAAAAAAAATAAGTGAAATATATTTCTTTACAATATAAGTTATCTGTTAATTCTAGAATTTCATATGACATTGGTATCAATGGATCATTAGCACTTTGGTAAATTATGGACATTTTCTGTGCTAATATCTTCTGTGAAAAAGAGTTCTGTAGGCAGGGGTGGTGAGGAAGGGTGAATAGGCAGAGCACAGAGGATTTTTAGGGCAGGGAAAATACTTCGTATAATATTATAATAATCGGTACATGTTATTACACATTTATTCAAACCTATAGAATGTATAGCACCAGGATTGAACCCTAAGGTAAACTGTGGACTTTGGGTGCTTATGATGTATCAATGTAGGTTCATCCTTGTTAAATAATGTACCATTCTATAAGTGATGTTGATGATGGGGGAAGCTATGTGTTTAGAGGGCAGGGGGGCAGGGAGTATATAGGAAGTCTGTGTACCTTCCTCTCAATTTTACTGTGAACCTAAAACTGCTCTAAATAAAGTCTAAAAATTAAAATAAATAATTTTTAAAAAAGAATGAGCTAGATGTCTACTGATGTGGAATGGTCTCCAAGATATTAAGTGGAATACAAGATGCAGAACTGAGTGTATGGTATACTGCTATTAATGTATAGGGAGCATCATGGCTGAATAAGATATCCCTTGTTTGTGTCCCCACCCACCCCCAACAACAATAATTTGGCATCCATCTATGGACAAAGTGCTTTTGTGGGAGCTGTGGGATCCAGTACCATATGTCAAGGGACGGGAAGAGTCTCACCCACATGTTGCATTGGACAAGAGGCATACATACCTTGGTCCCACTGTGGACCCTGCAGTGGCCCATGAATCAACTCCAGCTCCTCTCATCCAGGAGCCCCTGGAAAGCACTGTCTTAGACAGTCACTTACGGATGAGAGAGTCTTTGTAGAAGTCCAGGTTTCCAGCGAAGAAGTTCCAGCACACAGCTGGAGGAAAAACACAAGTTTAGATGCATTGAAGAAGGCAGTTACTAAAAACTAGAAGAGGTGACTGTTCCTTCAAATATGGAGACAGCAATACAAAACTTCAAGGAATGTGAAACATAGATCACAATAATCTTTCAGTAACCAATCTCAATATGTAGACCTGCAATTTACCCAATAGATAATTTGAAATATCTGTTTTAAGGAAACTCAATGAGCTAAAGGAAAACACAGAAAGACAATCCAATGAAATCAGGAAAACAATACATCAATAAAATGAGAAGTTTAACAAAGAGATAGAAATAATAAAACAGAACCCCCAAAAAAAAAATTCTGGAGCTGAAAATACAATGAATGAAATGAAAACTGCAATAGAAACCATCATCAGAGGGTGCCTGGGTGGTGATGTTGGTTAAGCCACGGACTCTTGGTTTAGGCTCAGGTCGTGATCTCAGGGTCATGAGATGAAGCCCTGTGTCTCACTCTGTGCTCTGCACGGAGTCTGCTTGGGACTCTCCCTCTCCCCTGCCCTCCCACCCCAACTCTCTCTTTGTCTCTCAAATAAATAAATCTTTAAAAAAAAACATCAGGATGGATCAAGAAAAAAGAATCGTGAATTAGAAGATAGGAACTTTGAAATTATCCAATCAGAGGAGAACAAAGAAAAAAGAATGAAAAAGTGAAGACAGCTTACATGAATTATGGCATACCATCAAAAGAAATAATTTATGAATTATAGATTTCCAGAGGGAGAAGGGGGAAGAAAGCTTATTTAAAGAAATAATGGCTGCGAACTGCCCAAATCTGGTGAGAGCTTTGGATATCCAAGTTCAAGAAGCTCAAAGAGACCCTCTCCAAGACTCGTTATAATAAAACTGCCAAAAATCAAAGACAAAGAAGGAATCTTAAAAGCAGGAAAAGAAAAGACGCTTGTAACTTACAAGGAACCCCCATAAGGCTATCAGCAGATTTCTTAACAGAAGCCTCAGAGGCAAGGAGAGAATGGGATGATATATTCAAACTGCTAAAAGAAAAAAACTACCAACCAAAATACTCTATCTGGCAAAGTTATCCTTCAGAAATGAAGGAGAAATAAAGAATTTCCCAGAAAAACAGAAACTAAGGGAGTCCATTACTGCTGGACCTGACTTGTAAGAAATGCTGAAAGGAGTTCTTCAAGCTGAAAAAGGATACTAATTAGTAACAGGAAAACACATCAAAATATACACATGCTGGTAAAGATAAGTATGTAGACAAATTCAGAACACTCTGAAACTGTGATGCAGTGGTATGTTAACCACTTAACTCTAACATAAAAGATGAAGGACAAGAATATTAAAAATAACACAA